ATTTAATTTGAAAGAAAATAAGAAATGAAAATAAGTAAAATTACAGCATCTGCATCCATGTGAGAAGCAATAGCAGCTCCAGCAGTTGGGCCATAGCCAGTGATAATATTAATAACCCCATCAGGAATACCAGCCTACAATGAATTAATAGAATTATAGATTTTATAATGTGATAAGATTATGGCTTTCATATAACCCGCTAACCCAAAATTGGCCCCGCTAACTTGAAATTGACTTGAAATCGACCCTCATTTGATCTGATTAACTGTCATGAACTACATTAAACGGGTTCTATAAGTCGGTTTCAGGTTAAACTTTCCGACTCATTAAACATTCAAGTCAATTTCAAGTCAAACAATTTCGGGTTGTGCCAATTTCAAATCAGATCGGAACCTGATACGGCACCCCTACAAAACTCAATCATACTCCTCACCTCCTTAGCCAAGTGAGCAATATACAAAGCTGATAGCGGCGATTGTTCCGCAGGCTTGACAATCATGGTGCATCCGGCGGCGAGTGCCGGAGCGACCTTAAAGGCAAAAAGTATAATCGGGAAATTCCAAGGAAGGATGTGCCCAACCACACCAACAGGCTCCTTGAGCGTGTGAGCCTGATACTCGCCTGCACATTTGAGAGTCTCACCATGAATTTTATCAGCAGCACCTGCATAATACCTCAGAGCATTCACTGCAACTTGGACGTCGAAGGCTCTAGTTACATGCAAAAGTTTTCCAACATTGATCGAGTCGAGCTTGGCAAGCTCTTCTTCGTGTTTTTCGATCAAGTCCGCCAACTTGGACAATATTCGTCCCCTTTCCTGCTCGTGAAAAACTCGTTGTTTACGAATAGCTCGTGTTTCTTTTGATGTCTAGCTTGTTGTGTGGTATGCATGCATGTAAATGTCTCTAAATGTAAATATACAAGATTTGTGTGGTTATATGTAATTCATATTTATAGAAAAAATCTTACGAAGCCAGACATGCGAGGCCATTTGCCATGGTCAAAGGCCTGCCTTGCAGCCTTTACGGCGAGGTCAACGTCTTCCTTATCACCCTCAGCCACCAGTGTTACCACATCTCCTGTTCGAGGATCTCTGGATTCAAATGTCTTGCCTGTGTAAAATAATTTACATCATAAATTAACTGAAATTATTTTTTTATAAATAAATTTAAATTTTAATAATACATTTATGAGTTTTTATTTTAACTAGATGAAAAATTAAAAATAAATTTAATGTTTCTAAATAAAAATTAGTAATTCAATTAAATTGAAAAAAGACGGGGGTTTACATACATACCGCCCGCATAATTCTACCAAATTTACCTAGTTAAATACTAAATTTAAAATTTTATTTTTAGGAATTTATATTTTGTAAATTTTTCATATTTGTTAGGTCTTGGATTGTCTTTTGTGAAGATGTCTCGAGAGTTAAAGTCGAATGAATGAGAGATTAAAGTGAACAAAAGTTACTATGAAAAGAACCGGGAAGAGTCTGTTATTCTTATTTTTGTCACCTATCTATAAAGGTGTATTTTGTACAATTACAAAGAATAAGGAATATGTGTGGTAACCGTTTTTAATATGATTAATACTCTTATAAATTGTATGAATTTCATTTCATATCTATATTACAATTTAAATTTGATATGTCGGTAATTCGTTGATCGTTTCCCTAGAATGTCGACTGAGGCGATCAACTGGGCGACGATCTTGCCTTGTGTTTAGTCGAATGACGATATCTTCTGCCGTAGCAAAAGCGAGTCATCTGATCAAGGTCATGGGGTTTCTACTTATGTTTCGCTCGGTCGGTTGGTCAACTGATGAGCTGATTTGTTTTTTCGGGTAAACCGTGATTCACTTTTCACTTTGGCTCAGATCTTATGAGGCCTACGTCTTGTCAACTCGATCAGTTCGTCATCTCAGCCGGATACCCATATTGGCAAGGTCTTAGACGGACCTCATCATTGTCTGTGTGAGGCATTGGATGAGGCTTGTTACTAGGATGAATCACGCCTCGTTGTTGATAAATCTTGTAGTCATCGAGCGAGAGACCATCTCCAAAGCTTCGACCTGTCCCGGGTTTAAAGGCAGCACCCTTAGGCGTAGCTTATTATTTTTTACCTCTTCGTCCGCATTGAAACTCATGCCAGTAGCTCTAATGTATACAATATCACATAAAAAAATATAACGGTTTTAACTTTTACAGTATGAAATACACCTTTTCATTCATAAACAACTTGGCATGCTCGTAAAAATTGAAATTTAG